GTAGACTTTTTGTAGGCGGATACAATTAGAATATAGATGATCTGAGATTCAAGAAACAGCCACAAGGAGATGATAGATTAACTTTCAGTGAGAAACAACCAATCAGAACACTGTATCTTTCTCCTAACAATAATCTCCAATAATGTACATGAAAATCGATAAATATGTGTTGATTTCCTTAATAAACGTTCTGTTTCTTGTCTTCTGTTGTTACACTATTGCATCACTTAACATAGTGGTCACCTAACACACCTGACTGATAAACAGTTTAATGTGAGATGACAACACATTGGTTATAACTCAGTAAGCAGTTAGATTGAAATTATATTAAGGATATCCACCAAATGATTTATTTTATATTAACATATCTTATATTTTTTAAAGAGAACTGTAGCATTTCCACATTCAACTTATCGCGTTATGCATCAGTGAGCTTAATTAACAAGTTCATTCATTCATTCAATATTCATACTTTTCTGTCCACTTTTGGGCCTCCACACAATTATGATGATGATGTCGATAGTAATACTGTTCCTCTTGATCAATCCATAAATCTCTTGTTAATTCACACACTGAGTCTTTTAAGATGAAAATTCTCTTTCAATTAACATATAAATAAATAAAACTTGAGAATTATAAACCCTCTTCATTTATTTACCTTTTAATAAAAATAGATTTTCTCCTCCAAGTGAATCTAAATCTTGTGATATAAAATGTTGCTTTGCAACCCTAGTGACTGACTACAGGATAAAGCAGCACGAAGTTCTAGTGGGAAGTCGTTATTGACCGCATGAACCAAGCTGGGCATTACGCCAGATACTCACCGGTGATATTGGCTGATGGCCGCGATACACTGAGAATTAGTAGACGCTAGAATTGATGGGCCAACGGATTCCGTCCAGTGGTTGAATGGTATACGACTTTTCCTCGTAATATGAAGGTTCAAGACTCGATCCCTGGTAGAGTCATCGACGTGTGTACCACTGAAAAGTGCCAAACGAGTGGGAAACTGCTGTTCAGTACTCCCTAGTTTACAACTGTTCTCTATATGATGTCACTTAGTGATCGAAATTCATAGAAAATGTTTGGGAAATTATTTCTTCGCGCTATGTCGTGAACTGGCAGAAGCTAGAATTCAAGGACCATTGGATCGGGTTCCAGTGGCTCAATGGTCTACGAGCTCGCCTTGTAACCAGAAGGTCCCGGGTTCGAATCCCGGTGGGTGCGTACTGATGAGGAGTCCCAAACTAGGACGAAACGGCTGTCCAGTACTCCCTGGTTTTCCAGTGGTTCTCTAACTGATGTCAGCTCATGATGAAATCCTCCATGCAATCAAACAAAATCCCTACAAAATCCAATACTTGAAAATTATTTCTTCAACAGTTCCAGAGCTCAGTGATTATGTTGGCGAAACAAACGTGAATGTTGAACTGTTTAGTCTGTATAGTAGCAACAACCTCCAATCGAATTGTTGAATGTTACCAGACATTCATATATCATAGTTGACATGTAGTAGCACATATATTTTCGCCTCGTAAAATTCAGTACCTGCCTTATTACATTCATTGTCTCTATACTCAATTCGTTAACCCTATGTGAATGACTCAATCCCACACTTTGATCAGAAATCGATATGGTTCGCAGGATCACTGAGGTGACTGACTTAACCTTACTGGTCACGACTTCTGTCACTATATCTACAGGAAACTTCGCCCTGCGGTATATCATTAGCGAGCATTTGTTTCATTTACATATCCAATCAGTTTTGACTGATATTCCTATACGCGGTTATCATCGCACTTCAGTATTTCTACTCACTGTACAACTGTAACACACACACAACAAACCAATTGTCGTTGTCTATCGTGATTCATTTATATATATATATATATATATATATATATAGAGAGAGAGAGAGAGAGAGAGAGAGAGAGAGAGTTTGACAAGGTAGCACCTAAACTGAGAATTAAGGTGGTGATACTGAATGTGAGATACTTAAAAATCAACTGATGGGATCATTGAGAAAAATGTTTTGTTGCTGCCGCTTTACGAATAACTTACTCTAGCCATTCACCAATGCACCTTAAAGTCATGGAAATGTTACCTCGATTGTGTAATTCCATATGCATTTATATGTTCACCTTCTCTTGTGCAGCTAGATACATAGGACGTTCGTCGAGAAGCATATCACGCCGCGTTCGAGAGCACCTCTCAGTTTGGCAAAGCAAAGAAAAACATAAAGATGTAAATTCATCGATACTGCAAGGTCTTGTGGATTCCGGCCACGCAGCATCTTACTCATCGTTTAATATAGTCTGCAAATTTCAACAAAGTTTGACGAAATTGACATGAGCGCATTTGCTTTGTATAGCAGAAGCTTTAGCAATACATAACGTAAAATCAGAACTTTGTGTACAACAACAGTTTGTGCGGTCTCTTTCGTTACCATGGTTTTGACTTTACTATGTAGTTCACATTACAACTTTTTTATCTTTCTTTATTCCGTGTTCCGTTTTCGTTTCATTTAATTTTACTTTATGTCATTATATTCTAACATTTTATCTAGTCTAATACCTTAACAACATTTTATTGATCCTATGTTTCCATAATATTATATTCACATTTTCGAATGTACTTTATTTTCCTGTCACATCTTTTTCACACTTGTCTACTGAACTTTATGTTGATCTCTATCTTCGAGAGTTGATTTATAAGGAGTAGATTTCTTTTCCGAGTTTGACCACGGATTTATATCAGTTTGAGAACCATTGAAAATCAGGGAGTACTGGACATCTGTTTCATGCTAATTTGAGACTAATTGGCAGTACACACCCACTGGATTTCGAACCTGCGACCTTCCGATTACAAGGCAAGCTCGTATACCAATCAACCAACCGATTCAATGGTTCATAAATTCTAACTTCTACCTCTTCGTGATTTTAGCACAGACGCCAACTATTGTCATCGATGGGAACTGCATCATCACTTCCGACTGGAATGACCTCATTGGTCACGACTTCTCATTAGAACTCCAGGAATCTCCGTCCTGTAGTAAGTCACTAGCGAGGATTTATTTCATTTATATATCTAATCAGTTGCGACTCATAATCCTATACACGGTTATCATCGCACTTCAGTATTTCTACTCACTGTAGAACTTTAACACACACACACACACACAACAAACCGGTTGTCGTTGTCTATCATAATTCATATGTATAGGATTGTACAGCCATGAAAATGAAGTCGTTGAAAACATAATTTTCTTTGCTGAATTCTCTGAAATTTATCCGGAAATATCTTCACTTTAGTCTGAGCTTTGTTAATAAAAATATGATGATCTTCACTGATAATCCACACTTGGACAGATAATAATATCTAGTGTGTAAGGCTTCACAAAATGTTTTGGACGTACTCCTTCAAATTTAATTTATTCAAAGCAGTCTTAAGCAATGGAGTCTATAATGGCTGTGTCAGTATAGATCACAGGATGCTTGTCATATAATCTCTGTTCCCGCCTATATCAGATGTAGATCTTCCTTTTGGAGACTATTCTGCTGGAATAAATACATGCACAACAGTCATAAGTTCGATGTTTTGTGATTCCTTAGAATAATTAGTGAATAGTCTGGTAGTATGCATGGAACGTCCTTAAATCTATCATAATATCAGTAATGCATTTGCTATTCCTTAGATCGAAACACTTCGTCTGAACATATGTGACGTATTGTAAAATAACAGTAACAGTAACATTTTTAGTTTTAATGTTTTTCGCGTGTACATTAGCTATCTGGTAGTATAAAATTTTCTTCAAACAGACACTTGGTCTGTGGTTCAATTCCTGACCAACATACCTCTATCTCTCGCTTAACTGATAGTACGACCGGTAAAGAGGGTAAACTGAGCGGGGAACATCAAAATAGCAGATTCCACTGAACCTTCAAAGCTGAGCATGAAGCCCTGTGTCCTGCTCTGAACGCAAAGCAGATAGAAAAATATTTATAATTAATTATTGTCTACAGTCTCTTGGTACTTCCTCGTATTACTATAGATATTTAGAAATAAAATACATCTGTCATGCCTTGGTGATCGACATTTCTGAAACGAACCTAAAGAAACATCTCTCTTTCGTTCAAGTGTAATACTATTAACAGAATATACTGGGCTGTTCAGTAAATGAAATAACCATATATTTAGACATTTTTGTACAGAATTTTTAACTACTTATATAATTTAAGGTAGTAAGTATATTTGATTTCTCTTTCAGAATGACGCAGTCCGTTTGATCTCTAAAGAATGTAGTCTACTTCTTTACTTAAATCTATCATATACTGAAGTAACTGATGACGCTGTTCGTCATTTAGCAACGTAAGTGACTGAAAGTATTTTTTTGATGTAGGCATTTTTGAATGATAACAAAATGTAACTCTCATTCACATTTGTAGGATGAATTCAAAATAACATTAATGCACATTAAAAGTGGGAGATTTAATGTTTGGTTAGTGTACAACTATTTGAAATGAATTTTGAATTATCAAATAATATTCTGGTAATTGATATTAGGTTGCTTAAGGTAATATGAAAGATTACATAAGCGGGTTTTTTCAAGTGATTTTATCCACTTTAGGGCTTTACTGGTGAAATATAATCGGTATCGGCGAGATATTTGTAAAGATGATTCATATAATGCTGTGAGTGATGTGAAAAAGACATTTCACCAGAACTAAACTCTACTGTTCGCCTTCATTAGATGAATTTATGTTGAGGTAAATTGTGCTGTACCCATTATTTTGTGTAACCATTAAAAGCCTATTTTACTAAAGGACTAATACATTCAACATATATGACCATTTGACAGCTAATGCCTTTCTATTCGAAGAAAAAACAGACATTTGAATTCATAAAGATTACATAAGTTAAAAACGTACTACATAAAACACTTCTATATTATTTAACTGAGTAAACTTTAATTCTATTTTATATTCACTAGAAATACAAAGATGTTACAGTATCTGAGTTTGGCGTATTGTACACGATTGACAGAAGTGTGTTCTACTTATTTTAATCAACTGGAATGTTTCAAGTCATTGAAATATTTGGATTTATCTGGTTGTATTCAGGTAAGTAAAATGTTTCTTTTGCGTTTTTCCGTATAAGTATCAGACTTATATTAAGTGTAGTAGATTGAATACTGCTTCTGTTCTATAATCACCGTCGTACGTACTGCCACCAGATTAGAATTAAACAAATAAGAAACTCTAAAGCCTTTACAATGATGGATAGTCAGAGATGAAGACAATAATTATTGAAAAGACTTGTATGCACTTGCTTAATCCGTCTTTGACATAATCCAAAATATAAGTGCAGCTTACTGATCGAAGGATCGAGGATGTTGTTTTTCACACTTTCTATTAAGCAATCAGACCGAGATGAGACCCCATAGCTACACCATCTTTCGAATTTGAATTGGATATCAAACGTACAGCTGAAAGGTAGTTCCTTCAGGTAATTGATGGGAAGAGGAACATCTAGGTTGTTGAATTGGATGTGGTCACAGATTAATCGTATTTTCTCGGTCAGTGGGATTCTTGTGAATAAAGAAGTGACATCTAGTGAAAGCATTTGTCTTTCAAAAACGTTGGTATCAATCACTGAATCGAAGAAGTCAAATGTATCGCTAAGACTATACTTTGTTGTATGTTTTCTTACCGGTTCAAGGATATCTGCTAGTCACTTCGCGATGCGATAGCATGGTGAGTTGACCATGTCTACGATAGGTCAAAGTGGAAGATCCTTCTTATGCACTTTAGGCAATCCATATAGTCTTCGAATAATTGAACTGTATGGATCTGATGAAATAACTGAATCTTTTTCCATTTTCTTCAGTAATTGTTTAGGGTGTGTTTTTGTTGCTTTCCGTTGAGTCTTTCTGGTTGGGTGGTCTGAAGAATTCGCTGTTGTCTGATAGTATGTTTGTTGATATAGTCAGATCACTTCATCATCACAGTCCCATTACCCTTATCAGGACGGACGACGATTATGTCTTTATTTTCTTGAAGTTGTCTTAGTTGTTTTCTGTGTTCCTTGGTTAGCAGACAACGATGGTTTGGTTGTGCACAAATGGTTGGAGTCAAAGATGAATAAATGGTTTTGACGACAGATCGGTTTGATATTCTCATTTCAACGATTTCCTTTAAATAAATGTACAAATGCCTTCTTACATGGATTAGTATAAATGATAACAAATTTGCTTGTTTTGCTATTAATATTTTGATAATGAATTAAATATTAGTCGTGATGATTTATATAGGATTACAAAAATTTGCCCACCTGGGAATCAATTTGGAATACATTGATTTATCATTTTGTCATGTAAATTCAATTTTATTATGTTCTTCTTCCTAACAACCTTCATTTAACCAAATGAATTCTAGAATCTGACAAATAATGGAATTAAGACATTGGCCTTCTGTTGTCAATATCTTGTCAGTCTTAGTCTGGCTGGATGTAATCAGGTATATTGATGATATTTGCTTCAGTAAATCTGTGCCATCTTGCTTTCTTTACCATAGTTAACAGATATTGCTATACAGTATGTATCAGGAGTATGTCACTATTTGAGATTTCTTGATCTTTGTGGATGTGAACTGATCACGTAAGTTCCTGTTATCGATTGCATTGTACTGAAAAAGCGAATATTACACCTGGCTGGTTTTCTGCTCACAGTGTATATGTGTTGTATTTTGTTTGATCAGGTTTAAATTATCGTTGATTTAAATTTTATTACGTATTGTTTACGGATTACCCTTCAACACGGGAATACATATATGTACATGTATATAATATCACCGTAAAATCTAGGTGGAATTACAAAGTCATAACTAATAGCAATACACATCTAAAATCACCTCTGAGTAAAAATATGGTTGTGTGTTGGATTTACTTCCCCTCGTAAACTTAGTTTAAATATCAATGTTCCCAAGTTTCTATTCACTTATATATTTTACAATTTCACAACTTACGAAGAGCATATTTTGCCATCTTATTGTTCAGATATTTTCTGTCTATTTTCAGTGATTTCCTCGAATATTCACTTTAAATACTGTAAATATGTTTCTAAGTATTCAAAAGTCTATTCGACTAGTTTTGTCACCGTCAGAGACTTCATCACCTTAAACCAGCACTTGACATTAGTTCAAGCAGTTTCAAAAGTGAAGATTGACAAGAAAAATGATTCTGATGTATAACAATCTGCAGAATCCATATTCTTTTCTGATGGCATAAAAAATGATTGAAGATTCTTAATTTTTTTTCAAATCGTGGAAAATACCCATTGGAACATTAGATTGAAAAGAACAAGAAGTTCGGCAAAGATGGAGATCTTTTCGGCGATTTCATTCTCAAAAGCTGTACAATCGCATTTACATATATTAGTTTACATGGATACAATCATTATTTGTTTAATTCCATATAGTAACGACGAAGGTGATAATAATTTTTAACTTGATTTGAAAGCTTGAAGTTAAGAATAAAGATTACAAGGGGCTTAGAGACAAGATTGCATAGGATTAGAAAATAGTTACAACATATGCAAAGAAGAGACACTAGTTCAATCAGAAGCGCAATAAGTGAACATCTCGTCAATACCTGTCACAGTCCGACTGTAGCTGAGGTTGTAAAATCTGTCTATCAGGTAGTACATTGATCAGACCTTCGCATACCACCTGGTCATAGAACACCGTCATACTTACTGAGACACCTGAAATATTGAAGCAGCCATTTAAGACTGATTATCAGTAGAATCTCAGCGCCGATACAAATATCACTTACCAACTTGCACAGGTGCAACATTTGGCTATTTATCATCCTACGTACACACTATAAAGCAGTTTGCTTCAAAATGTTTCACGGTTATGAAGCATGTCAGTAAAAGACGGAAGATTAGACTAAAAAGCTCTCGCATTTATTCCCTTCTGTTAGGTGGGCTATGTTGCTAGTAATAGTAAAGTTATGCGTACAGCATTTGTTAGAGAAGAAGAATCGATTGGTAAACTGTAAAGTTTTATCTATCAAGGTGGCCGAGAGACATCTCACTCATGCCAAATCACGTCAAGCGATTTTGACATCAATAAGAATAGGGAATGATGAAGGAAATTGACATCTCAGGTAGATGCCTTTTTGTTGTCGTTATGATAGATTTAACAGTGGTTAGGTCAAATATAACACCATTCCACGAAGATACAGTCTGCCAGTTTGACTCACCTAGAGAAGTGTTGACTGTAGAATAGATGTCCTCGTGATGCTAATGATCTATTGATGGAGGATGCTTGTGACATGACTCAGCACTGACAACTTATTCTTATCTTCTAGATACTGAAGCTGTTCAACAGACTTCACCTTATTATCTTTTATTCCATTCTTTGCAGTTTCAACATATTTCTCTGCTCTACTTTTCTGAAGTGAGACAATTTAGACTTCCACTGTTTTGTGTGAGTTTCTCTGCTGTTGTTAGGTTAGTCAAACAGCCAGTTAACAGTCAGTTGTCTGATAGTGACCAAATTCATGAATTCTGTTTTCACATTGTTACTGTCAGACATATCAAAATGATAATAACACTAGTTTTGTTTTGGTTTACAAATCTACTTATTTGGTCGTGTGATTATTATCTTAATTGACATGCTTATTTGATAAAAAGGACGTAACTGTTACTAGCGTAAATATTTGACTGAGTGTGAATGGAAACAATACAAATAAGTGTCTGTTGATTTCAGTATTACAGTATCAATAACTGACTTGTATTCACTGATCGTTATTTTTGTTTTGAAACATAATTTCACCTAGACACAAAATGGTTCGTTTAACAACTGGACGAGTTGAGAAAGTTGAATATTCAACAGATAGTCCACCAGACGATTTTCTTCCGAGTCCAACAAAAGAAACTGCATGAAATGCTCAACCGAAAACGTGTTCTCATTGATTGTACCATCTTTTATTCGCCTATTTATGGAACTTTTCTTACAAAGTATATCATACATATGACTTCTTGTTTATGTCTCCGATTATAGAGTGTGTGTTATAGGTACTTTGTGAATGATCCGTCTTCACAACATATTTCCCTAATAATAGAAAAGATTTGTAACTCAGGTAAATGATTTGCATTTAATAGTGTTTTCTGAGCTCAGAGAACACTATTAAATGCAAATGTTTCCCTAATCACAGTATTATGCAGTTTTAGTAGACTTTTGATACCATTTATAAAAGATATTTTCTATCTACATATCGATCTGTATATATCTGTGATGCATCACTGAATATACCAAAGTAGAACAGGATTATTCACTAAATGACGAACCCAGCAGAACTTTTCGTCCACAATTGCATCACTTCATCCATTTACAAATAAACATTTTACGATATTTGGTGTTTCTTAAATGAAGGCAGCACTCCAATTTATTGCAAAATCAAAACTCCAGAAGTTTTACTTTTAGCGGTGATATTCACTTAAAGGCATTCTGATTTAAACAAGACATTAGGCTGACTATCTATGAGGATATTTTGTTTGATAAACATCACGGTTGTTAATATTGGCATTTTGAAGATGAATGTCGCAAAATGTATACTGAAGAACTAATAGTAAGATGAATTCCGTATTCAAATGACTATTGAATATTCCCTTGATCCAGAGATGGAGAGAGCTAGTTAGAAAAGTAACTAAGTGGAATATTTATATTATCTCTATGATTTCTAATGATGGCCACTTTGAAAATTCGTCAGGGAAATTAAAAAGTACTAGGTAATAAATGCATACAGCCTTGTGGTATCTGTTTTCACGGAACCATACTGCAGTGAAAGGTGAATAGTTTTCATTAACTTGCTACCAGGTGATTTACATTTCTACTAATTAAATCTCATGAATTTCTCCTAATATGATTGAAGATAACATAATCAAATAAAAGGAGGAGTTGAGACAGCGAGTTATCAGAGCGAAGAAATAGTGATAAATGTCATTTTCCGAACAATTTGTTCGGCAAACTTCAGAAGGATTGTATCATATTGTGCATTCGTGATCTCCAATAATTTCAGAGTGTCCACCTTATAATATGTATCAACGAGATGTCCGGTGATAGCATTCGTCTTCTCAAGTCACAGGCCTTTCGGTACATGTTCAGCGAATCTATGGTATGGTCTTCTTCCTGTTTTCGAAATATAACTGCTACAACTCACGCAATAGATTTTTGCACATACGAGAAGCTTATCTATCAAACTTTGATTGTGACAAGCACCATGTCTTTCAATGAAGGGGAACCAACTTGGTTGCAGAGAAGATTCTAGCTAGTGAACTATTTAATCTTCCGTTGATTATTTCTGAAATATTATCACCTTTAAAATCAAAATGTATGAATTTCGGCTTCTTCTTCTTCTTCACTGTGTTCCTATCTATATTTCAATCTATAGATCTCTGTTTTTTTAATGGATTTTTGAAAATGACGGTTATTTTTTAAAGGTTTCTCAAGTTTCAGAAATTATTCTTCCAACTCCTAAGTAGAGCACATTTTTCTGATTCTGTGAAACAATTCTGACCTATGATGAGTGATATCTGATCAGATGCACCTGTTGAAATTTAAACACATGTCCATCGCACGTAGACTTTTGGTGAATGGATATTTGAAGACTTCTATCTCCTAAGGCCTCTATGGCGATGTCGAGAAAATGTAACTTCTTATTGTTTTTATGTTCCGTGCTGAAGTCAGTATTTTCATTTTTCGTTGCTGAGTAATCCAACTACTCAGGAGTCATGACTTAAATTACCGCATTCTACAAATGTGTCATCACTATTTACCATTATTATTATATCCTTTAATTCCTAAAGGAACATAGGCTTCAGCCGCGCACCTCCACTGCGTTCGGTTTTCTGCCAACTTTTTCACCCCGCTCCAAGTCTGCCCACAAGCTTGTCTTGCTTTCCCGATCCTTGCTTTGATATCCTCGTCAGTTCCACCTGTAGCTGAAACGATGCTTCCTAGGTGGGTAGGTAAAGGAGGTTGTTTATTTCAGGTTCCTCCCATTTATGCTAGCTGACTGCTGTCTGATGTTGTTGCTGCTGCTGGTGTTGGCCAGGAATCTTCATCACCTCTGTTTTATCTATGTTCACCTGAAGGAAGTGTTATCTTCTCTGTATGCTTCTTCTGCCAACTTGTTGCTTTTTACTTGCACATCTTCCAGTTTGTGGGAAAGCAGACTTATCATATCATCGGCGAAGTCCAGATCCTCCAAGTTTTTCGTGCGAGTCGATTTTATGCTTGTTTCCTCATTGCCCGCCCGTTGTCTGTCGGATTATCCAATCTACTGCAATTAGGAAGATCATTGGCGATAGTAGACATCCTTGCCTCACTCCCGTCCTCAATTCGAGGGATTCCGTAAGTTTCCCGTTGTGGATTACTTGGAATGCAGGATTGTCGTATAACTGTTGGATGAGATGTATAACTGTCGATGGGACCCCGTAGTAGCGAAGTAGTTGCCAAATCACCTCTCGATAACGATAGTAATTCGTTTTATCAGATACACACTTCAGCTTTGTTATCTCAAGATGAAAACTGAAGATGTCTGTTAGCACAATGACTAGTGAACTCATCATAGATACACCATTTAACTGATGGTTCAAAGTATTATTAAATTCTAATTACACATCAGTGGTTACCACTAGAAGTGGACGATTAAACTCTCACACCGGCAAGGAGAATAGTCTAGAATGCTAACAAATAGCATTGACAGTCTCCCCAGTATGAGTCTTTGTGGACAAGAGGTTTAGGTGAAATGACAATATAAAGATATTGGAAATGTTTGTGAGGATGGGACTTTCATGGAAGTGGAATGAGTATCTCACATTATATGCTTATGATAATTGATCATAGAGAGCATATGTCTCGAGAGAACACGTCTGCATGTTTACGATGGGCTATACATGTAATGCATACGATACTCTCGAAGTTTTGAATCAATATGTTTTCTTATAAGCCCTCTCAGTATACTTCTGCTGTGTCTTTCAATTCACCTTAAACCTCAACAGATTGTGGGATTACAGAATGCAATGCTGGTGATGTGAGATATTGGCTTGAAAATTCAACCGATTGAAATTCGACAAGGGTTGTACGCAGCTAAAGAGCAAACAAGAAAATAAATGATACCCTGATCTTATTCTGCATAAAGTGTTGTTTCTGCTTTCTTTATTCAAATTCTTACTCTTTGCAAGTATAATGATTTATTACTGAAGACTTTTTCTCACCTATCTGAACACCAATATAAGTAAAACAGTAGTAATTTCTGGGTTGAAGTTACACTCCTTTCAAATATGTTGTATTAAAAATTCATACGCATCAAGTGTGCCCATCATAATTGATGAAAACTGTTCATATAATTCAATGGAAATCCTACTGTATAAAATTTACATGTTCGTTTAGACTTCACAAATGGTTAGCTAGTAGTTCGTACAAACACAACTATCATAAACAGAATGCTTAGATTATTAGATTTCATTTGGTATACATTATGATGGCTAAAATGATTAGTTCTACTCAGCTTTGCTCAAGGTACTAAAACACCAACTCATTCTTACTCTCAGTCATAATTACACTTACCTTTATGCAAAATCTCGTAACGATTTAACATATACTCATACATAACGTTTACTTCAGGGTATGATTGGTTAACAAATCCACACATCATTTCCAGCTGTTTGCTTGATTTATTTGTCTGAAATGAATTCACTGAAATGCACCGATGATGACGTAAGCACTAAAGGTTGTTATTATTATTCCCTTTGGTTCCGAGTAGAACATAGGGCTTCAACAACTCATCTTCACTTTCTTCTATTTATTGCCGACCTCTTCAGCTGTGTCCACAACTGTCCATAATATCTCATCCCCCTGTTCACACGATCTTCTCCATGTCACCCTCAGAGCGACGACTCACTCGTCATTTCCCATTCGGAATCCACTTGGGTAATGGCCCTGTGCTTGATACCAGACGACGGCTCCCTCAGCATACGCTTGATCCATCTTCATTTTCGCCTACATGATTGTTGAGCAATCGCCTCTTGGTTGGTTTGTTGCCAGCCTGAGTTTATTGTTGCTAATTCTTTGTGGTGATTCGCTCTTTTTTATGGGACCAGTGAAGGCAGCTGTTGATAAAAGTCTGCAGTGGCCTGTTGGAAATCCTTTTCGCGACACGCTGGCCAACTTTCTGACCCATATAGGAGAACTGACTGACTTTGTATTTCTGCTGAAAATCCGAATCCTGCTGTTTAGCCAGAGTGATAAGGATTTTCAAACTGATTTCAGTTTGATGAGGGGATATCTCTCCTTTCCGACTCTGACCTGCTTTGCCATCTTCATTCGTCCTACCCCGTTGTAGTTGAAGCCGTGCTTCTCAGATAAGTGAAAGAGGTAACCTCTGTCAAATCTCTCCCTCTGATGGTGATTGGTGCTAGTTGTTGTTGCTGTTGGTTGGCAATCTTCATCACCTGCGTCTTCGCCGTCTCACTTGAAGTCCTGTCTTCACATCCCACTTCTTCAGCAAGTTTGTTGGTTTTCGCCTGCAAGTCTCAAATTTGTGAGACATTGGACATTAATCATCCACATACAAAATCCAGATCTACTAGAGTCTTCTTAGTGCTCCGACTACTCCTCTCTTCTCGTCCACCACACAGTCTGACGCATAATCTAGTCTACCTTAATTAGGAATATCGTCAGTGAGGTTTTCAATAGCTTGGAGAATAATAAAGGTAATAGTAATATGGTTATGAGAAGATGCTTAATTCTGTTTCGTCTAAATCTGCATATGGCTTTAGAGCAATTGTTCAATCACTTGTAAGGAAAAATAATTAAACAGTTGACTCTTCTAGATAACTATTTATGTCATATATGAAGCTGAGCTACAAAGACCAGAGTTACCTATTATAGTATGACTTCGATAACTAAACTTTGTACTACAAAATCCCATATAGTGAAACACAACAACCTCATTGAATTAAAAATAGATTCGTACTTCACTTTACCACTTAAACTTATACTTTTCTTTCTGAAGAACATCTGTAAGTTAGTAAGCGAATAAAAATACATCTACTACTTCAATTTAACGAATCAGTGGCTAATTCACAGCTTACACTAATTGTTCTCAGTATAACATAAAAAGGTGAACATGGTATGCTTTGTAGAGGAGAATTCATTTATTTATTTTAATTAACAGACAAAACATCTGGTATTGTCATTCCATTCTTGGAGAGGCTTTCG